AACAACAAGAAGTTAAAGATATCAAGGAAAAAACTGGAAATATGGATTTATAAGAGATGAAAGAGGTGAGAGTTAAAAATAAAGACTGGGATACTGTATAGTCAGGATAGGATAACATTTGCAACAACGAACCTCCAAATTTTGTGGCTTCAAATATTAATGATTTGTTTCTTTCTTATGGTTGACTTCAATGTTGGAAGCTCAATGTTGGAAGGATGGGGGTGGGTAGGTTAAAGGTAGAATCTGCTCTGCACACTCAATTAGGGACCTAGGCTGCTTTCATCTAGCACTTTTATGCACTTCTAGGGTCATGAAATCATCCACTGGATGAACGACACACATCTAGCACCAGGGAAGAAAAATCCCGTGAAAAGTGTATTGGATGTTTTAGGGGACAGGGTTGGAATTGGTGTATATCACTTCCAACACAGCCCCATGCATTAGACTCAGCTTCCTTCAAGGGAGGCTGGGAAATACCCTTTAGCTGTGTGCCTAGAAGAAAAAAAATAACTTGTTTGATACAGTAGTGTCTTTCCTGCAGTGACATTTGCATAGATTGAAAGTTGAAGACACTAGAAAGGAGAACAATCACAGGACTGACCGCAGAGGAGATACACCATGGTATAGTCTTGGACACCCCTACCATTCACAGGACAGTTTCAGGAACCAAGAAGAAAGAAAACAAAAGAACAGTCAGAGAGATGAGAGATATTAATATTATCTACTGTTAAATCAAGGAAAGAGAGAATTTTAATACTGGACAAAAGTATAGTTAATAAGCTTAATGGCGCAGAGACTTTATATAGATGAAAAATGCATGTGGACATTTGATTTGGTAATAAGAAACACTTTGGTGAATTCCAGAAGATATTTTATAATAGATTGATAGCTCCACAGAACCAATGGCATTTGTTCCTATACCATACAAATTGTTGATTATTTATTTGGATGCTACACATAGCCTGAAGTTAGAGAATTCTCAATTCAAATTAAGGTATTTGTTGATATCTTCAATTGCTTCATATCTCTGTTTGTTGCCACTAACATTTTCTGGAATCAGAATGAAATTGTATTCTTTTCCTTACAAAAAAAAAGAAAGCTTAATAATATTAACTGTGTTTTCCAAACAAGAATTTGGAACAAAAACTTTTACTTCATTCTTCACAAAGATTTGAAAATATGAGAATCGGTTGGAAGGTTTCTACCTCCTTTTCACTCTCTTCCTTCATCAGTAGGAAAGTACCAAGGCAGGGCAGAGAAAAATGATGGAGCTGATTTTGGTGATGTAACTGTCTAAGGTTTAGTTATCTCTACCTAAGCCCATTTCTACCCTCATCCTTCGTAGTTTGGCTATTTACTTCAATATATTCTCCATTTTAGCTTGACTAGTTCAAATTAGGTTTCTGTCCCTTGAATTGAATGCTAACACACTTGTAGATGTTTATATCAGAAAGTTGGGGAATAAATCGTCTTCTACAAAAGTTATTTAAGGGTAAAAGTAGCTCAGAAAGAAGGAAAACTAGTAAGAATTAAAGGCTTAAAAGAAAATATATGAATATGAAGGGATGTTTACATATGTCTGAAGAGTACAGAAGAATGGCAATCCTCAATGGATTCTCCATTCTCTTACATTTCAAATGAAAGATCATTTTTGTTTTGTTGCATTTTATTTAGGTCCTTCCTTCCTTTTGCACGGCAGTGCTTATCTTTTCAACGTGATTATGATAACTGTCATACACTACATCATGAATCTTGATATATACCTAAGATAACAGTTTTGAGGAAGCCTTTCTAATAATTCTAAGAAACTCACTTGGAGATTTCCAGGTACCATCTTGCACTAACATATATATGAACAAATACTTTATTAATTAAATTGAAATTGCAGTGTTTTACATCGAGATCTCGTTTTTCTTTAAAAATAGTTAATTGCCAATAGGTTGTCTTTCACGAACACTCTAAAACATGACAATTAACACAATAATTTGCTTTTAAAATTAGCTAAGTTTTTTGTTGTTATTTTAATGAGAATATCCTATATGTTAGAAGAAGGTTATACATGTTGGAAATGTAATTATATTGTTAAGAAATTGGCTCAAATTTCTAGAAAGTAATTTGGCAATATTCCCAGGAATCTGAACAGTGTTAAGGGCTTTTGATACAACAATTTCTCTTGTAGAATCTACATAATAGCATAATTCAAAATAGTGGAGCAAGGCAGAAAAAAGATTAATGTATAAAAATGTGCATTGCAAAAATTTTTGTTAAAAATTTTGAAATAACTTGTATAATGAAATTGTGTTAAACCATGCCATAAGCATAAAACAAATACTAAGAATCAAATGACACTTAGAAGTTTTTATAGCATGAAAAGTGTATGTGCAAAATTTCAAGTGTAAAAATTTATCATCAAAATGCATTTTATACTATTGTTATGCTAAAATATACATTAATAAGGGAATTGAGGGAAACAGAGCGAAATGTACTTTCTGATTTTTCTGCTTATAAAATAAATAGTTCACAAGCATGTTAAAGTCAACATATAATTTAATCAATTGACCTTATATCTGCTAGATTGTTGCGATGGTTCTGAGAGTAATATTGGATAACACTGGAGAATCATTTGGGAAACAACAAATTTGAGGGAAAAATCTATCAGTTAATAGAGTTATTTCCCCAGTTGATGATACAGAAATGAAATGAATTTTATACCTTCAGCATGGTCGAATAAACCAAACATCATAGAACCTCAAGGATGAAATGAGCACTGGAGACATCACTTATTTTGTCCCTTGCTATCTATAAACTGCCCCTAGAAAAATGAGAATGAATTCTATTTTTTACTATAATTCTCTAGAGAAAGCATTGATATAACTTTGCATTTTAACCAAGCTTTTTCAGTATTTCAAAGTTCTTTTAAGATGAAACTTCTCTCTTAAAAACCCAAGGCAAAAATATTAAATAACTTTATTTTTAGGGATTTGAATTTTTTAAGCATCACCCAGAATTCTTTATATTCTTGTTAATCACCAGTCATTTTCTAGTTTTGTACTTTAGTTAAAACAGTTTTATATCCCTCAACTTTCCTCAATCAATATATGTTATTTTTCAGTCCGTTAGTTACTATTGAGCTCTTTTCTGAATAGTCCCCAGTTCCTTTGCATGCCAGTTAATGTGTGTAGTAAAGAACTAAGGAATTGAATCCCAATTCCTTACTTCATAAATTCTAGTAATCATTGTAATTTCTTAACGTACTGCTCAAACTAAAATTTTTGTGAGTTAATTATAACTATGGCCAATATCTTGTCACTTAAAAGTTTACTGTTAAGGAGAATAGTGGCACTCAGTGAGCATCGTTATACCTGTCATCAAATGTTTCTTCATTGTTTTCTCAGAGTAAGGCATAATTTCAAATTGTTTCCAATATCAGGCCTTCATCTTTTAGTTAGATTGCTAAAATAGCATACCAACTTCCTAAAGGAACACCTACTTATATTGCATGATCCTTCCATAATCAAATATACAAAAGTAACATTCTTTAAAGTGAAGATATAATTTTATCGTGCTCTCCTCAAAAGCTTATAATGATGACTGATTGCTTATTAGATTATTTTTGTGTGTGTGTAGTAAGAACACTTAATGAGATCTACTTGATCAAAAAATATTTATGTGCACAGTACAGCATGATCTATAGGCACAATGTTGTACAAGAGATCTCTAGAACTTATTCATCTTGCATAACTGAAACTGTATGCCTGTTGAACAGCAACTCCCTATTTCTCCCTCCCCCCAGCCCCTAGCAACCACCATTCTCCTCTATGTTTCTATGAGTTCGACTATTTTAGATATCTTATATTAGTGGAATCACGCACATTTGTCTTTCTGTGGATGGCTTACTTTACTTAGTATAATGTCCTCCAGGTTCATCCATATTGTCGCATATGGAAGAATTTCCTTCTTTGTTAAGACTGAATAATATTTCACTGTACGTATATTCCACATTTTCTTTATCCACTCATCCATCTATGGATGTTTTGGTTTTTTTCCATATCTTGGTTATTGTGAATAATGCTGGAATAAACTTGAGAGTGCAGCTATCTCTTTGAGATCCTAATTTAAATTCTTTTGATGAATTCCCAGAAGTAGGATTCTGGATCATATGGTATTCTATTTGTAATTTTTTGAGAAAACTCCATACCGTTTTCCATAGTGGTTGCACTACTTTACTTTCCCAACAACATTGTAGAAGGGTTCCAATTTTGCCACATCTTTGCCAACACTATTTGATATCTTTTTTTTTTTCTTAATAATAGCCATCCTAAATAGATGTGAGGTGATATCTCATTGTGGTTTTGATCTGCATTTCCCTGATGAGTAGTGATGTTGAGCATCTTTTCCTATATCTGTTGGCCATTTGTATGTCTTCTTTGCAGAAAGGTCTATTCAAGTCCTTTTTCCATGTTTAAATCATACTGTTTTATTGCTATTCAGTTGTAGGAGTTCCTTACATAGTTTGAAAATTTACACCTTATCTGATATATGGTTTGCAAATATTTTCTCCCATTTTGTAGGTTACCTTTTAACTCTGTTGTTTCCTTTGCTGTGCAGAGAGGCTATTTAGTTTGGTATATTGCCACTTGTCTATTTTTATTTTTGTTGCTTGTGCTTTTGGTGTCATATCCAAGAAATCACTTCCAAAACAAATGTCATGAAACTATCCTTATGTTTTCTTCAGGTCTTATGTTTAAATCTTTAATTCATTTTGAGATAATTTTTGTGTATGGTATAAGATAGAGGGCCAATTTTATTCTTTTGCATGTGGATATCCAGTTTTCTCAACACCATTTGTTGAAGAGACTATCCTTTCCCCATTGTGTATTCATGATCTCCTTGTTGAAGAACAGTTGACCATATGCGTGTAGGTTTATTTCTGGGCTCCCTATTCTGTTCCATTGGCCTATATGTCTGTTTTTATGCAAGTACCATACTGTTTTAATTACTTGAAATCAGGAGTGTGATGCCTCCCTCTTTGGTCTTCTTTCTCAAGATAGCTTTGGCTATTTGGGATCTTTTGTGGCTCCATATGAATTTTAGGATTGTTTCTTGCTATTTTTGTAAAAAGTTTTGTTTCAATTTTGATAGAGATTGCCTTGAATCTGAAGATCCCTTTGGGTAGAATTGACTCTCAAGAATATAAATTCTTCCAATCCATGAATATAGGATTTCCTTCCATTTATTTGTGTCTTCTCTAATTTCTTTCAGCAGTGCTTCATAGTTTTCAGTGCACAAGTCTTTTACTTCCTTGGTTAAGTTTATTCCAAAGTGTTTTATTTCTTTTGATGCTATTGTAAATGAGATTGTTTATTAATATCTTTTTTGGATAATTTGTTGTCAGTGTATAGAAAAACAACTGATTTTTGTATATTGATTTGGCATCTTGCAACCTTACTGAATTTGAAAGCTCCCAACAAAATAAAAGCCCAGCACTAGATGAAAAAAATTGGAGAAGAGAGAGTATCTCCAAACTCAGTTTTATAGGCCAACATTACCCTGATACCAAAGCCAGGCAAAGATATACGAGAAAAGAAAAAATGCAGGCCAATACCTCCCATGAATACAGATGCAAAAATCCTCAACAAAATAATAGCAAACCAAATTCAACAACATACTAAAAGGATCATACAACATGACCAAGTGGGACTTATTCCCTGGGATACAAAGATGGTTCAACATATGCAAATCTGTTAATATGACACACCACATTAACAGAATGAAGGATAAATATCTTATTAGGTTAATTTTAAAATTTTTTGCTTAACAGAGCTTCTTCTGCACAGAGGACACTTGATAAATCATTGATTTGGGGTAGGCAAACCCAATTCTTAGAACAAAACATTTTCATAATTTATATCATTAGATTTTATCAACAAATAAATTCTAAACCACTGTGAGTTTAGAGGAGGGGAAGCAAATTCTAGCCTCAAACTTGAAACAAGATATGGGGTGGGTATTTCAGAGTATTGGTGAGAGAGGTATAGGAGAAGTAAGAAGAAATAATAGATTTTTGTTACCCAGTGATAGACCAATGCTGTGTGGAATACTTCACATTTTCCATCTTAGTGTTTTTTTTTTTTAATTTTATTTTTCTCGGGATTAGAAGTCTAATTGAAATACAATAAACTGTACATATTATAAGTGTAAAATTTGATGACATATGTACACTTCTGTGACACCATCAGCACAATCAAGACAATGAAAGTATCCATCACATGCAAAGTTTCACCACACTGCTTTGTAATTTCTTACTCCCACCCCTCCCCACTTCTCACTCTCCTAGGCAACAATTAAATTGTTTTTTGTTACTAGTGATTAATTTGAATTTTATAGAATTTAATATAAATGGAATTATATGTTATGTATTTTGTTTAGCTTCTTTCACTCAAAATCATTATTTTGAGATCTATCCATGTCGTTATCTATCAGTAGCTTGATTCCTTTTATTACTAAGTAGTACTGAATTGTGTACAGAGACCACAATTTGTTTATCCATTTACTTATAAAAGGATATTTGTACTGTTTTCAGTTTTGTGGCTATTACCAAAAGCTTCTATGGACATTTGTGTACAAGTCTTTGTATGGCCATATGATATCTCTTTTGGGTAAATATCTAGGAGTGGAATAACTAGGTATTGCATGTTTACATTTTTAATAAACTGTCAACCTGTTTTCCAGGATATGTACCATTTTACATTCCCATCAGCAACATATCAGAATTCCAGTTGGTCCAAATCCTCAGCAATGTGAGTCTGTTTAATTTAAGCCCTTCTATTGAGTGTGTAGTGGTATTTTATTGGGGTTTGAATGTAACGTTCTCTAGTAGATAACAAGGTTTAGCATTTTGTGTACTTATTTGCCATCCACAATCTTCTTTAGCAAAATATCTATAAAAATCTTTTTGCCAATTATTAATTGGATTATCATCTGTTTATTGAGTTGGAAGAAATCTTTATAGATTTAAGATACTACATATATAAATTGTACATGCTGGTGAGGATGTAGAGAAGCTAGATCACTTATACATTGCTGGTGGGAATGTCAAATGGTATAGCCAACAAACTGGAAAACAGCTTGGCTATTTCTAAATAATCTCGACATATAAGTACCATAGGACCTAGCAATTGCGTTCCTGGGTATTTATCCCAAAGAAATGAAGACTTATGTTCATACAAACAAAAATGTGTACGTGAATGTTTATAGCAGCTTTATTCACAATAGACAAAAAGTGGAAACAAACCAGACGTTTTTTAAGGGATAAATGGTTAAACAAACTGGTATATTCATATAATTTAATATTACTCAGCAATTACAGGAAATGAACTATTGATACATACAAAAATTGTCAATAAAAATGTTTTAAAATAGAATATAACATCTGGCTTGGAAATATCAATTTCCTTCAGAAGCAGGGTAAGTTGTTCTTATTTTAGTTTAACCCAGTTGAAACTGAGAATCTGTGTGGGTTCGTTGTGAATTACCACTTCCAAGAAGGAACTGGTAACTGTGTGCCTATCCCTTTTGTTATAGTTCCACTGCTACTTCCCTCATAATTTATATATTACACTTTGCAACTAAATTATTCTAGCTGCCTGCCTTATATTCCTTCAACCAGTTCTGAGCATTACTTGTTTTATAACACCTCTTTAATTTCATCACTTCCACTTTCACAACCTGTTGCCTATGGAATGAAGGCTTTCAGTTCTCTGTTGTGTCCTTCTTCACTCTCTAACTCCCCTCGTTATAGACCAATCTTCTAGCAAAACTGTCAATCACATTGTTGTGTTTTTGACCTTTACACATTTATACCTCAAAACTTTTGCCCTTGTCAATCCCAGTTTTGCTTTTATGGCCACCTTACCCAAGCTCAACCCTGAAATTCTGTATGTTTTTTAAAGGCTGGCTCATGTTTAAAGACTGGCACCTTCTCTATGAAGCCTCTTATGATCACTGTAGGTAAAAATGACTTCTTTCCTTTCTTTAATCTCTGAACACTTATGACTATTTCAACAAACCATGGACAGAATATCAATTATAAACTTCTTTTCTTATAGTTACTTGAAATTATGTATTTTCACTCTGTGCTATAAATTCCTTCAGGATAGAGACTGTGTTTTGAGTTCCTTAAAAATTCCTTACAGATAAAAACTAGGAATGTCACATCTACAGTGCTGTCTTAAATATAATGACTATTTATTTGTTCAATGAATATTTCTAAAATTATGATCCATTAAATACTGCTGCTTAGTAACAATTTAATTCATATTTATAGGGGGTTTATTTTAATCCAAGAGCTGAAGAAGGCAAGAAAACTACAGAAGTGACATTAATAAGCCACATACTTGCAAGGAGTTTATTCTGACAGTAGATTCAAATTTAAATTAACAATACCAATAAAACAAGTTGCTGATTTGTGTTGGTAAATTGCGTGTGCACAGACAAAAGAGTTTTTAACCAGTCTTGGGATTATAGGTATTGTTGCTTGATTGGGGTCAAAAGTTGAAGATAATCAGGAAAATATGGCATGTAAAACATTCCAAGAAGGAGGTAAGTAAAGAAACAGTAGATTGTGTGGTTACTGATGAAGTGAAACATTCATATGCGGAAAGAGCTGGAAATGAGACATACGGTGAATAAGCAGAGGTCACCAAATCATAGAAAATGGTCCAAAATTATGAGTTTAAAAGGAAAAGGCCTGTATCTCTCTTCCCCACTCTAACTTTAGTGTGCAGGTAAGTCCTTGTGTCAAACATCAGTGGTTATGATTCTTCATCTCTTGCTCTTTTTCTCCCCTTGTTCCCAACCACATTTTGCACTGACTGGGAGAAATATGATCATATTACTTTGATATTATCAAAGCTTAAAATCAATAACTTTGTCAAGTATTCAGACCTAGTCATAGCATTAATACATAAACTTAGCATTTGTTGATCAATAAAGTAAGCTAGAAAAATGAGAGTCCTAGATCTTGGGGTTTCAAGAAGAATTGAGACTAGTTATGACAGAATAAGATGTAGCTTGATTAAGAACACTCCTATTTGGGGCAAAAGAAAGATATTAGGTGAAGGACCATGTTTCTTGGAGGAGGACTCTCCTCTCCCTTATAATTTTATAGAATTTTCCCATTATAAACTGTATGTAGAAAAGAAGAAACATCAGAATAGTTACAAGGCATTTTATAAAAATGAATCATGAAAATTGGTATGGTAAAGGCTAAAGCCTCCAGGATTAAGCAGACATGATTTTTTTCAGCTTTATTGAGGTTTAATTGACAAGTAACATTGTAGGATGTTTAAGGTGTACATCATGATGATTATCAAATGTACGTATACATTGTGAAAGGATTCCTCCTATTGAGTTAATTAACACATCCATCACCTCACATATTTACTTTTTGTGTTTTTTTTTTTTTTTTTTTTTTTGGTGAGAACATTTAAGTTCTACTCTCTTAGCAAAATTCAATTATACAATACAGTGTTATCAACTATAGTCATTAGGTTATACATGAGATCCTCAGACCTATTCATCTTATAACTGAAAGTTTGTACCCTTTTACCAACCTCTCCCTATTTCCCCACCCCCAGCCCCTGGCAACCACTTTTCTCCTCTCTATTAATACTATACTAATCATATTTTTGCATGTCTTGCTGTTCTAAATGACTTTTTGGGACCTTGGACCTATCAGAGCTCTAATTGTATTCTGTGAGTTTATTACTAGCATTTTTGTTTGTTTTGTTGTTAATCAGATGAGAAAAGAGAGGATTGGATTAAAGCTATTGAAATAACTCAAGAATTTTGGATAAACAGCTTATTTTACTCACTCAAATATATCCTTCATGATAAATGTACTGGGCTATCTATCCAGAGAATCGGATGACTTCAGCATAGTTTAGTGAAAATTCTTTATATGTCTCTATATCAGTGACTATTCATTCAGAAAATGAGTTTTCAGGAGTAAAAAACAGCACATTGCAGCCAATCAACCTATCACAGCAGAAGCCTGGATGCAGAAAAACATTACATGGCAAATGGCATCACAACTGAT